AGGAGTTGAACACATAAAGTCTCTTATATTACTCTTCGGTGCTGCCTTTTGAGGACTCAAGAATTCGACTCTTGTTTTCTCGCACATTTGTTGTCATTTTTGCTACTACATTATTATCTTGCTCTTCAGCCTAAAAAAAAGCCTCTCAGAATGGTTTGCAGAAGTCAGAACTAAGGTAGCTCCTGCTTGTAGACTTATACTTAGCAAAGGCCCAACCCAAAAGGAAATGGAGTTGGGAGGATAGAAGAAAAAAAAACAACAGAGTTGAGAGCACTCGTTCCTCATTAAGTTCTTGTACCTTCTGCTTTTTCTCTACCCAATGGATGGTGCTAAAGGTCCTCTCCTTCGTCATTCTGTTCTTCTAAGGAAACATGTGGTACAGCCCTCCAGTGGACCTTAGTCCCGTGGTAGGCAAACAGTGTCTTAGGGCAAAACTCCAGCATTCTTTCTGTTCAAAATGTGAGCCAGGGGCTTTAGATTGGAGAAACAAACCAGCCAACAGCTTGTTTCTTCTTGCTTACCTTCTCAGGAGCAGAAATCGCTGTTCCAAAATTTGTTGGGAGAGGTGTTGAACTTTTACTTGGGTTAGCACACATGATTTTTGCATAAGTCATAGAATAAGTTCATAACAAAAGAAAAGAAAAGAAAAGAAAAGAAAGAAAAAGAAAAGAGAAGTGTTTGTAGTTTGGGAACAGAGGCTGGAGAGGGAGGAAAAGAAAATCAGCAGTGTCATCTCATCAACAATTCCAAAAGAGCTTTGCCAATGCAAAAGAGGGCAGGGTGCATAAGGCCACCTTAATTTTCATGTGCGGCTTGTGGCAGAGGCAAAATGTTCCTTGTCCCAAGAGATTTGACACTCCAAAGTAACCTTCACATCCTTCCCTGGAGCTTGGCGTTGGGACTGAAATCTGAAGAACATCAGTATAATATGCATTCACACAAATTATAATAAGCAGATATAATAAGCAGAGCCAAAGGAACCCATGGATTTCTGTTTTGTATAGGGAGGTACATGTGTACATAGCAGTGGCATGTTATTATATGAACATACCTCGAGTAAATTTCATGGGTTTTCTAAATAAACAGGGATAAAATTGGTCCCTGAGTTTTCCTGATCACAGATTTTAAAGCACAATCATATGCGTGTCTCCTCAAACATACAACCTATTGATTTCCAGAGGACTCAGTCCAAGTAAGAATGTGTAGGACTGATGTCACGTATGCCAGTTTCAGAAACCTTTGGGTGTGTTGTTTCATGAAGGCAAATGCACGATTGATTTCTAATGAGAGTGGCTTCTCTGACCCTCAGAACTCAAATGGAGCCATTGGGGGGCCTGGAGTCCTTGCTCAAAAACATGTGGCAGTGGCGGGAAGCAAGTGCGTCGTCGAAGTTGCCAAAAAACTAAGCACACACATTGTGTTGGGCGTCCCTTGGAGGTACAGACATGCTCCTACATACCTTGTCCAGGTAATGAACATCAGAATGTATTTAACCTTTCTTCAAGGTCCCTGAACATGTATTGAGATTTTCTTCCTCTGCTTTGTAG